GATTACGCACTATGATAGGTGATAGGATATTAGGAGAGTACTAGAATAGAATTGACTGACAATATTAGATAAGTATAGGACTGGAATCGCTAAGAGTAGCACATTAGGCTCTTCCGAAGGCACTACGTTTCTCTTGTGCAGCGGCATGTCCTTACTCTGCTACTATCCTCACTCCCTTGACTTGGATATCGATAATCTACCTCCGCGAAGTCGAGTACGTATAGTCCATGCCAGCGCAGCAAGTCCGTATCCCTTCTACTATTCATAATCACCAATATCCTATTCTCCGGTCAACATATATTTCTTTATGTCGCCTCTATCTAATATGCGTAATGCGAACCAATGAACGGGCCTTGGGAGAGGCCAAAAGTTTGTGCTCGAAGTTTAAGTACACGCGACGATTTTATGTGTCTTACCGGTGACTTTTGCCTGTACATCTGTATATAACGGGGGGGGGCCAAAAAAAAGACCATTTACGTCCACTTCCAGATGGATTACAGCACCACTTTTACTCAACTCATACCGACAGTCAACTTATTATGAAAGAGTGCATTAACTCTGATACAGAAAATCTTCATAAGGGCAGTACGTGACGGCATCAGCAAGATTAGCCTGGAAACTGGTGTACACTGGTCCGATCTTCAATGTGCAGTCTCTGAAGGATCGTGTAGCCATAACGACTCTTACTGGAAAGCAAGTTTTCGAGGGGATTTCGCCAGTGTTAGTAATGCCTCTAAGAACTATCCATTTAAATCGATTACACGAATATGCGCAGAGCTTCAGGCTGAACGTCTTACGTAGACTCCTTGAGCCTGACGACGGTGCAGATGCGTCATATTCTGCAGACGGTGAGGGCAGTGAGAGGAGCGCCTGAGTACACTAATAGAGGCACACTTAGGAATACTCTGTGAGGAACTCCGTCACCAGGAGCATCTCTGCGAAGAAAAAAGAGACGCGATCCGACATAGGTTCCACATTGTCTTTTTTTTCTTTGGCCGCCCCCCCTGTATGTTTCTCGTTGCTATGTACTTGTGCAAATTTTGTCGAATAAAGGGGTGCGTGAATCCAAAAGCGCAATCACCTTGCCGTCCGTCCAGTTTGAAACTTCATCGAGTAATACTCTCGTCTGCTTCCTGGCGTTTGACTCGTATGTCTGTGATTTTTTCGAGGTACATGAAAATATTGAATGGGAAGTTGTGACAATTCAATAAGGGTTCGCCAAAAATATCGCGACAGACTGCAATGTCTTTGTACAATGCCGAACGAAGGTTATTAAGTTAATGTAATCTATATAAACATGAGCTTGACTTTCGACTGCTTACGTCTTCTTCAGCAGGCCTGAAGATCTTGTCGACTGATTCACATATGCGGAGCAGTAGCATCACGCCCTGTGTCTAGTCAAGTAGTAATACCGAATTATTACGAATAATAAGATCTATTCTTGACGTGACTAACACAGGCGTGAGCTAGCTGCTCCGCATAGGTGGATATCCGACAATCTTCAGGCCTCTGAGAGACGAAAGCGAGTGAACGTCAGACGAGTGATATAAGATTTCATCTTAAAAACCTCGTTTGGCACATAGTGCAAAGAAAATTGCAGTACATATAACATCAAATGCCGAGGTTCCAAGAAAGGACGACATGGAGACTATAGCGACAGTGACTTCGAGGTGCTTAGGATGACATGCCACAATTCGAGAAACCAAAAATGCAGAAAGGTTCACACTCTCATTCTAAATCGTGAGCATCCACCAAATTTATGAAATTCTTTGGAATGTATTTACACTAGCCTTGAGAAGCATCGTGGAACCATTGACTGTGGCACGCAACATGGTGCGTGGGACTCGTCCTTATTATGCTGGAACGATCCCTTCGAGGCATTCCAGAAGCACGAACCTTTGTACTGGCCTCAGCTTCCGCAACCGATCTTACAGAATATCCATCGAGTCAAAATCTGAAGTGCTGACCTGCCACCATTTGTGCTGATGAAGTCGAAAAAATCGCTTCTGCACCAAAACCGATTCTGCACCACTCTTGCCTTGTGAATGGGAGCTTCCATTTGGCGTGATTTTAAGCAATGATTTTCCATGTGATAATATGCTTAGGGTAGAGAGTAGCTTCAATATGTCCCAAAGAACCCATCTGATATCCATCTCTCGTAAAAATCAGCCAATTGAGCGCGCCCTCCACCTGCAAATTCCATCGCGTACCATCCCTAGACTGCTAGTGATCGCCAGTGAAACACTCAACCCCCCACCTCATGCAGAACAATTGTATTCAGCTTTGTTCTTTGTAGCATTTTGTGGATTTATTGATGGCACTGGATCTACACCAAACGCTGATAATTTTCGCGTGCCGAAGTCCCTCGACGTTAGAGTTCACTAATTTAGGAACGGAGCAACCGTTGTAGCAATTCTAAATTTTGGTGATAAAACAACATAAATCTGAACAGGTTTACACTATAGGACCGAAATTAGGACAGCAGAAAACGGCACGTTTGAATATCGGTTCTAATTATGCTCATGTATTGTCGCTATAATTTTGGCGCACCCTGTAATTCTTGTCAAGTGAGTGTGAATGCACACATTTTACAACCAAGTTAAAACGTTGACGACCGTGTGGTATGATGTCATACCACACTCGTTCGGCTGCGTGGGACCGTGTGACGTAATGTCATGTCACAGTCTTTTCAAAGCTGGTTTTCAAACACTCCATGTAACTTGGTTATGTGATGTATACGCATGCTTTGACATTGTTACAAAAGGCATGGTCCCTGGAAGGAAGCTTCGGTTAATGGGCTCGAGTGTTTCAGAAAATGTTTGAATAATGATCATCAGTCGCGCTTTTTGTGCTTAGGCTAAGATTGATCGGTACAAAAAATGTTTGCAATAACAATTTGCTACAGTGGGTGAGGACACTTTTGGTCGGAAACGCGCATATGCGCATCCTGTGATCCTGCGTAGTTGTAGCAGCTTCTGCGTTGTCGGTGAACGTTTTCCTTTGCCTCCTTTCCTCCTTACCCACAAACCTTCGAGCCTGTGAGTGGTTTTCGACATGTAGGTCCGATTTTAATCCAACGATCATATTGAGCTTGAGATAAGGGAACCAGGAAGCGATCCTAGAAGGGTACCTCTCAATGCACGTCAACTTTTGCTCTTTCCACGCATTCTCAAATCACAGGAATAGCTGAAATAACCAAAATTCAAAATCTTAGACCTACCACACAAGAAAGATAACAAACAAACAGTTCTCCAAAAAAGGTGATCTCGTGGAACCGTGTGACGGACTGTCTGACGCGGTCAAAATAATGCGCGCGGTCCCACACGCCGGACAGCGAAAACGAGCGCAGTCGTCAACGTGTTAGTCCTAATGAAATGAATTGCGATGCCAAGCTCCACGTAGACTTCAAATTCTCATTTTTTACATTATGAAATTCTTTTCACTGAAGAAAGAAAATTGTTTCATGCTTGCGGATCGTTACCAAGAGGAAAGAACTTGTCACAGACTTATTCTGCCTTCTTAACATTGAACATAACGCATAAAGTAAGAGCGCGATCAAATCAAAGCAACTCATCCCGAGCGATCCCAGCAACAAATAAATAAAGAACCAAAATCCCTGCCAGTGAGACATTCAGCTATGACTTTAGTATTGTTCCCACTCTAAACTCACAAAAGGTTGTACCGATAAAGAACTCCTATAAAACAATTCTGCTCTTCGGAAGAACCCTATTCGAAAGTTAACTGATTTTGTGTATGAGGAAAACAACGCATAAATAAAAGGAAAAATCATTTGCCGTTGATCACTCCCTTTATGGGATGCAGCAGGCATTCTCTTTCCATTTGTACATTTGTAGTGGCGTTTGAATGCGATGTGACCGATACAATGACTTGCGTGGGCCAGCCGATGTTCAGGTCAGTGTTTTTCTTCCTCCCAGACAAGTCCAATACCAATTTACCGACCCTGGAGGGATGGAAGGCTTGGTTGGCCCGAGCGACTAACGACCCAGGTTTGATCCCCGGACGGCTCGCGTGGTAAGCGAGCCACTTGCCACTACACCACTTCCGCCCTGCACTGCATGGACCTCTCTAATAACGAAGAAATAAATACCCATGTGACTTATTCGACCAAGCCAACGCTGCAAAGATGCACCTCACGATTAATGTGGCAATTCCACTCAACTACATATAGCAATAAGAGGGTGGTTGACCAACGGTTAGAAAAAGGTATAGGAAATCGAAAAAAAAATATCAAGTGCCAATAATGGAAACAATGATTGTGGCAATTGAAATATGAACTGAACTTACATAATATAACTTACACTAACTTATACTCTCTGAAAGGGACAACGTAGCTTATGGTTCTTTATGTTGTGTGACAAGATTTTTCTAATCGTGCTCATTGAGGATGGAGAAAAAATGGAGAACCAACAAGCAGGGTTACCCGTCCGATGTTTCAATTCCAAAAATGGTTGACCCCTCCCCCAACTAAGAGGACTTCGATACGACCCTCCACCACCACTGCGCCTTAGGTGGGTGGGATGGGAGCGGGCGAAGCTCCCCCACTCCTACCCTAGCCCGGTCCTTCATCGTCCCTTCCCACTCCTTATGCGACCACCTTGGAAGTTGACACAATCCACTTTCTTCTCTATATGGCGCCCAGCGGATGGTGGGGATGGATGCAGGAGAGGGGGAAGAAATGTCAAATGAAGCGGCAAGTCCTCTGATTTTGAGCACTTGTTGCTTACTTTCACAAAATTTCCCCATGAAAAAAAAAACGTCATCCAAAACTACCCCCTCACTGAAAGCTGATTTCAATTAAATCAGTAAAACAGTCCTGCAAGCAAATACTGCGTCCTACCCTTTCCCAGCATGATCACCGGCAGCAACAATTCACCTGAGGACGGAACGCCAGCCAAATAAATACGCGGCTGTCAATATTGTTATCAACTATTTTATAGTAATATATTGACGTCTACACTGAGGAGCTGTTATTGATCACTTCACTTACTGGTAACGAATCCAACAAGATCTTTGCGACCCAACACCTCATCCGTATTCAAATAGTGCATCAGTTCAACGGCTGTTGAGCGTCGCGTGACGAAAATTATGGCACGCGAATTCTCATCTTTCTCGAACTGGTCCTTCAACTCTTTCTGGAATATCTTTCAATAACAAGGTGGGATCAGCCGCTGAGGTGGAATACATTACTCCTCTTTTTCTTCATCATTCCTCATGTTGAGGAGAGTACACATTTCTACTATCCATTGGTATGTCTAATAAACCGTTTATAGCCGTTGTATAGTTGAAAGAACCTTCCACGGAAAAGCTCCACCTTCATTACCACAGAAAAAGGATACCTTAAAGGAATCTTCCACGGAAAGAATGATCATTTTATCTTGTGGTAGACATTTATTCAAAACTAACGCTTATGTTCGGTTCTTATTGCTATGTTCATGAGGCTAGGGGCCTAAGGTATCGTTTTTCTGTGGTAATGGAGGCAGACCTTTTTCCGTGGAAGATTCCTTTAATGACAAAATGACCACAATTAGCTGACCTCTAATACTGCAACAATGGGCTTCTTGGGTTCTTCCTTGGCCGATTTCTTGAGTTTTTCTGAAAAAAAAAGTTTGGAAGAAAGAGCAGCCAATTGCTTAGAAAGGCGTCATAGTCAGATGGATGCTGGCGTCTCACACATGATCAAGCCCGCAACTAGCCTAACATGTCTTGGTGCCAGGGAACATATCTACCTATTTAAATGACCCGAAAAGTTAATGGACGCATGAGCTTGAACAGCGGCTTAACATCGCCGTAAGCCACTCTACAGGACAAATAGTGCCTTTCTGAGTAAGAGTGGAGTAAAGCACGAGGCTCCTTATCCCGTTGGTGCGCCCACCTGCGCATTACCGGCAAAGGGGGCCAAGATTTCTAATAAAGTGCATTTCAAAGTATAAAAGCGGCCATGAAAACGGCTTTTTCAGCTCAAATACGTTTCAATGTTTGCTATGCACTTCATTGGAACAAATTCAACGTGCTTGAAGACCATTTCCGATTCCTTCAAGACATACATATTATTTACAACATTCTCATGAGAAAATTTAGAAAACTTCCCTGTTTCAAAACTGTAGGGGGTTTCACTACTCAATTTTCCTTGGAGGAATCCTCCACGAAAAATTTTAGCATTTTTTTCATGAATAAGTCAGTTGTGATCACTAGAGACAACACACAAGTTTCACGTTCGAAGATTCGGTTTCCAAAGAAAAGCAAACTCACGAAAACCGCACTCTATGAACGTCGAAAGTAGGTCGCGCGGCGCCAAAGACGGAAAGGTGGAAAGAAGCGCGCCTTGGGGGGGGGGGCAACGTATCAGGCTACCAATGAAAGAATCGGGTAAAAGCGTGCGATTTTCGATAACAGACAAAACGATGAATAGAAAAGGGTGCACTTGAAGTGTAAGATGCTAGTGGAATAAGTCAACAGATCAAAAAGAGTACTAGTGACAGCGCTCCGTGGACCAAGCGGATGCGCTCCCGCCGCCAGCATTTGTGACAGATATCGGCAGGAATTACTGTCGCACAGCACTAATAAGTGTGTCTCTCCAGCAACTCCTTTATTCCTGAGTAATTGAGCGCAGAATCGAATGAGCGACCTCCTGATCTTGATGACTGAATTCGGCAAGGCAGCTGGCGACAACTAATTATTTCTATAGCATTCCCTGAAGGCTCCACTTCAATGTTTCGAGTAATACTTCCTGCATTTGGAATTGCAGAAGTAGACCAGTCAAGTTTGCTAGGATGGCTTCATTTCCAAGTTCACATTGCTGCCAAAAACAAGCTATGCTGACATTTAGATATACGCTGGGAAAAAGCGAGAAATGATCTTCCCAAATGAAGGTAACAATACAGTTCCCGCCTATGGATTTGATGCCAAAAAGTGCACAGAGGAAGCAGGGTTGCAAGATCGGCATTAATTTCTGGCAATCTAATAAAATAAATGACATCAGAAATATTCGATTACCTTCGTCTTCTAGCCTAAATTCTGCAAGGAGGTCCGTGCACTTGAGGTAGCTTTACTATTTGACGTTTGACCCTAATCACAAGAAAAGGTAGCTCACCTTGATCTTTTTCGAAGTGTTTGTAAAACTTTGCAGAACATTCAACTTCAAACTTGTCTTTTAGCGCTGTGAGATTCTTGTAAAGGTATTGCAGAGAATATCTTGCTGGCATCAAGTCGTTTATAGATACTCCCTGACTCAACACCTGAAAAGAATTCTACTGTATTGATCAGCGCATCACTTCTTTCTCAGATTCTGCTGATCTCTAACCTGCCAAAAGAGAGTGGAGTAAGAGTTCAAGGCAAGCCGCACTTTTCAAAACAATTCTTTGCATATTGTAGGGATGCATGTACGGACAACAAAACCATGCTTTATTTTCGCTGAAGAGATAATCTGGTAGTGTCATAAAAGTAGTGAGAGGTACTAATGGCTTGCCCTTTGGCGTCAAGATTTTTTGTTCCAAGCAGGGTGAAAATCGTGTCGAGTACGTGGTCGCAGAAGTACGACCCCCTCCCCCGAAATCGAGTTCCTGGCACCCCCCCCCAAAACGGAGCAAATAAGTTCAATTAATTAATCAAGAAAATCCTAGCAAAATAATAAAAAAAAATCCTGCAAAATAATGTTATGGACGCCTCATCTTGTCATCTGTGCACTGTCTTCGTCGTTGCACACTTCTGTGTATTTACTGAAATATCCACTCGAGGAAAGAGGCATTAACTTTGTGTGACCTCAAAGTCAGGTTCGTTCAGAAATGCACAGAAATCTTGAAGGCACGGGGTTGCGATTCAATCTTAATTCCTGTTTGAGTATATCGAAACAGCCGAGTGTATCAATTAACGGCCGATTCAACGGCAGCTGCGGCGCGATTGTCACTGGGTAAGATTTGCAGAAATCCCGAAAAAACCGTCGAAATCTACACCCTCGATGAAAGGGTTGCATTCCTTCATTTAATAACCTTTGAAGCAGTTTGAGGTAGGGTTAGATAGAGCTGGATTTCGCGTTTCCAAGAAGTATTGAAATTGCTCTGAAAGCCTTCCATGCAGAAAGATAGGGTCTCTCAAATTTCGTCGAGTAAACGTCGAGGACGCTGAAATTTTCACGCGAGTTTTTGCCACTTCAAGAGCAATATTTCTCTTAAAACGTGAGATCCTGAAAAAGCGAAGATGGTTTCGAAGAGCGGTAGGTTTGCCCTTTCATGATCTTCTTAGATTTCTTCTACATTTTCTAGTTGAGAAGATATCTGCGTCGAGTATGCATCGAGGACGGAACCGGCCACTTGAAAATCCGCTCCCTCCTTCACCATCGCAAGTGTACTTGTTGGCAACGTTTGAAATGGGTTTAGAAAACATCCTCCCAACATAAACAATAGGAAAAGGGCGATCGTCGTCATCGAACTTTGTCTGAGTGTAGGCCATGCATTCGACCTCGGTCGAAGTTGCAGAATAGATTCGAAGGTGTCATATGATCATTACCACTTCACAGAGGCTGCATTGTAGTAAACGCATTTCGTAACTCCTACAACATAAAGAGCAACTTGTATTGTCATTTGCCCAGGGCTTTTCCTTCACGGTTGTCGTTTTTGCGACAGGGTCCCTAACAGCAGTGTCATTCTCAGCGAGGTATTAAGGGAGAAGGAGCGAGCGATAGGCAGAGGAGGTGCCTATGCAGTGCGCACATGTGGCAGTCTTCTTTGCGGGATGCACTTTCATTTTTTGTACTGCCTTCAAATACGCCCTTCTCATGAAGGTGGAGGAATGGGGCGACTAAACCTGCAAAGAAAATTTAATATCATGTTTGTTTTCAGATATTTTCATTTTCTGCTGCGCTATACCCTCTTACCTATCTGCACCACGATACCATGTTACTGACCAGGGTGAATATCGGTCGATGAAATCCTCGACAGGGGGGTCGCACCTGACGGGCTGGGTCATGGAGGGGTCGTACTCTTGGGGGTCAGTAACAGCAGTGGTATCGTGGTGCTGATAGGTTAGAGGGTATAGCGCAGCAGAAAATGAAAATATCTGAAAAAAGACATGATATTAAATTTTCTTTGCAGGTTCAGTCGCTCCATCCCTCCACCTTCATGAGAAGGGCGTATTTGAAGGCAGTACAAAGTATGAAAGTGCATCCCCGCAAAGAAGACTGCCACATGCACGCGCTGCAAAGGCACCTCCTCTGCCTATCGCTCGCTCCTTCTCCCTCAATACCTCGCTGAGAATGACACTGCTGTTAGGGACCCTGTCGCAAAAACGACAACGGTGAAGGAAAAGCGCTGGGCAAATAAAGTTGTTCTTTAGGTTGTAGGAGTTACGAGATGCGTTTACTACAATGCAGATTCTGCAAACTGGTCATGATCATATGACACCTTCGAATCGATTCTGCAACTTCGAGTGAGGTCGGATGCATGGCTTATACCAATAGGAAATCGGATGATGACGATTGGCCCTATTCTTACTGCTCAGGTGGCCGGGTCCGTCCTCGATAGACACTCGACGCAATTATCTCGTCAATCAGAAGATGTAGAAGAAAACTAAACAGACCATCAGGAAGCGCAAGCCTTCCGCTTTCCAAAGCTGTCTTCCCTTTTTCAGGATCTTGCGATATAAGAGAGACACTGCTCTTGAAGTGGCAAAAACTCGCGTAAAAATTTCAGCGTCCTCGACGTTTACTCGACGAAATTTGAGAGACCCTATTATTCTGCATGGAAGGCTTTCGGAGCAGTTTCAATACTTCTTGGGAACGCGAAATCCAGCTCTACCTAACCCTGAACTGCTTCAAAGGTCAGCAAATGGAGGAATGCAACCTTTTCATCGAGGGTGTAGATTTCGACGGTTTTTTTTTTCGGGATTTCAGCAAATCTGACCCAGTGACAATCGCGTCGCAGCTGCCGTTGAATCGGCCGTTGATTGATACACTCGGCTGTTCAATATACTCAAGCAGGAATTAGGATTAAATCGCACCCCGTGCCTTGATTTCTGTGCATTCCTGAACGAACCTGCCTTTGAGGTCACACAAAGTTAATGCCTCTTTCCTCGAGTCGATATTTCAGTAAATACACAAAAGTGTGCAGCGATGAAAGACAGTGCACAGGTGACAAGATGAGGCGTCAATAACATTATTTTGTAGGATTTTTTGGTTAATAAATTGAATTAATTTGCTCTGTTTTAGGAGATCGTGCCAGGATTTCGACTTCGGGGGGGGGGGTCGTACTTCTGCGACCACGTACTCGACACGATTTTCACCCTGTTACTGACCCTCAAAAGTAGGACCCCCATGACCCAGCCCGACAGGTACGACCCCCCTGTCGAGGATTTCCTCGACCGTATTCACCCTGATTCCGAGTAGGCGGCTACTTGTTGACCTCAATATGGTTCTTTCTGTGAATGTGGCATCTGTTCTTGACATTTAGCGCAGCGCCATATGACATCAACCCATAAGCGCTGACCAAGAATGCAAAATTCAGTCGTCAGTGGTGATCGAACTATCAGTCGAATCATCACCTTTCACAATTTTCCGGTACTACTGAAAACGTTAAGCGAAAACGAAGCATAAATTTGCGTCCCATACATGCGTTCTACAATGTGCGAAAATCGTTCTAATTAGAACCACACTTGTGCAGTTGTTCTTCAAAGGAAAGTACGCATGCTTCAGCTTCAAAATAAACTTGAATCAAAATCTCTTGTTCAGCTATGGTCAATAGATTTTTTGTTTGCTTAAGATCTACAAGTAGTTCTTGCACTCGCTACCGCGCGCATGTCAACCATAGCCGGGACCGTCTCAGGTCATTCAAGCATATTTTGAGTCATAAATACATGAATCATAGCTGATAAAAAAGCTAGATCAGTAATTATAAGTGAGCAGAAGCTGTCCAGTGGCACAGTAGTGGAATTTTGGTCGAAAGACGTAAAATAACAATGAAAAGCAAAATTTGTCTCACCTTCCTGAAATAAACCTCAAAAGCAATTTTACCCTGACTGCTTCAACCAAAACACCTACTGGTATGCTTCATGTTTCGTACCTACTTCTCTACTAATCTGATCCCCACATCCATGAAAATGTTAGGCTAAGAAGTTTTTAAGATTTAGAAATCCTCTACGTAAGGCACATGTGACCATTCTTTGGGGCATTATGTTTGTAACTATGTTAAGGTTTTTCATGAAAGCAGTACAAAAAACCAATAAATGAATCAGGCTTGCTCGAAATAAAAATGAGTGTAATGGATGCGGAAGACATATCCAGCGCGGTACAACTAGCCTGCAATGCGCGGATATGCCTTTCGATTTTTCGCGCGGATGAACTCACACTAAGATATTCTAAAGCGATACTAGGCTCGAACTTGAAGTCGCCATTGTGGATTCTTGCCAACGTAGTCGCCAGCGTATTTAGCTTCTGAATATACTTCTCAGTGACCAATGGATCTTCGAACCTTACTTCTTCCTGAAAAAAAAGTACTCTGGAGACTTCTACTAGGAAACAATATTTTTGAGAAACATCTTCAAAATGGCTGCCCGTTTCAGGTCTTTATTTTGCCTAGATACTTCACGGAGCGTATGCATGTCTTATTACCTTAGTTAACTTGTAGCCGGTTTCATTATCGATGGTGAGCTTCTTCAGCTGCGGTTCTACATCATGTTGAATCCGCTCCATAATTGTAATAAGCGCAGAAAGAAATGGAGAATTTTGTAGCTGTGGCCGGTCGACTTTTTTTGTGACTGGAAATATGTAAACTGTGTAGGGAAGCGTTAAGCTGCAAAGATGAATCAAGAAAAACTGAATTGTGAGCGGCCACCATACGAGCAGATGTTCTGATTCCAGTTTAAACGATCTTATTCTCACTCATTTTTTTTCTACACTTAATCCATCCTACCTACTATAAAGCGCTTCGTCTGTCCATCGTCTGTTGTTCTGTATGTCTGTCACCAAATTCCCTAGTTCCTCAGTATCCGCCTGGAGGGACCGGGTCAAGTGTGGGATGGGTGAGCAAGGTCTCACTTGGTACAAAACATACATCAGCTAAGCGGAGCCCTGCCCACAGTGGGCGTGGCGTGCGTCGACATGAAGTGTACTGACGAAGTGAAGTGTACTACGACTTGAGCAGGTCCTTGTCAAAACTTTCAAGACGAATGTTTTACAAATCAATGATTCAACAACAAACAAATATAACGAAAGGGAAAAGTACGCACTTTCTCAGAACGTGGAAAAGAGAAATTCAAAAATATGTCGACAGCGAAGATCGGAACACGGACCATTCTTTAGCCGATTTTTTGGCATTCCCAGAACCCCTCAGAAGAAATTATCATGTTATGCTTCAACGGCGTATCCCTACACCATGCTACCATCGCTTTGAAAGGCTCCACGTCCTGAAACACTCTCCTTGTCAGCTAGCTTTCACTAATTTCAGATTTCCATTCCGCCACTTTCATCATTGCTTCTCATACTGCCCTTTGTAATACATTGACGACATCCGGCTGTGCATGCATCTCCACAACTTTTCAATACCCCCTCAACGATTCCAGCACTGTTAATTGATGTAGCGTTCTCCAGTCATAATAATGCATTCAGATTCATAGGTTTAAAGTATAAAAAAGGCAAACAAGAACAAAGCGAGCATAATCAGAGTAAAAATTTGATCTGTGTGCGCGTGATGCTGTCGCCAATGTATTCACACGCGCTTTGGAAATAATATTCAAGGGTATCATCAGTATATTTGACGGTTGAGAAACCAAGTCAAAGCAGCATTTCCAGGGTGACGGCAAGGAGCAAGGGTAAGGGAAGGATTGGGGGGGGGGTAGCCTGGAGGCACCATCAACGCTGCGAACTTGCATCTCACGCGTGGTATGTGCTTAAAGGGATCCTTCCCGGAAAAAATATGATTGTATTTCATCTATAAATCACAGGCTTGAGACCGATCTTCCACGATAAGAACGAAAAGAACAAAAAGTTTGCGCTTGTTTTTGTTGGACCTAGAAGGACTGTCACGCGTTCAAATTCCAGCCGGACCTCTGCTACAAATGCTGACGACGGGAACGCTTCCACTTTGTTCACTGTGTGCTGTTACCAGAAACTCTTTTTAACCTTTTGACTTATTCCACTAGCATCTTGCACTTCAACTGCACCCTTTTCTATTCATCGTTTTGTTAATTTTCAAAAATCGCACGCTTTAACCCGATCCCTGATACATGGCCACTCTAAGGCGTATTTACTACCATGTCCCGCCTTTGACGCCGCGCTATTTATCTTCAACCGTCCATAAAGTGTGGTTCTCTAAGGCTTGTTCGTCTCGTGAAACTGAATCTTCGTGCATGAAACTTTGTATGTTGTCCGTAATGATCACAACTGACATTTATGTTGGGAAAGGATGCAAAAAATTTTTGGAAAGAGTTTAAATGTGTAATGTTCACAGTATGAGAAGCAGTGGATACGCAACGTTGGTAAGACAATAGGCGACTGCAAGAGGCACAAACGAGGTACTGATTGAACCGAAGGCGCACAAGCTTGCTGACCCGTGTCTCAATTATGCACTTAGTCCTGCTTCTAAAGATGTTCAATCCGGAATAGAGGATTGCCTTCATTCCTTTTGTGACGTCCTCATTTCTCCAACTAAATAATTCCACATTTTTAAGAACATCAACTCACAGTCATCTGGTTTGTTCACGTATTGCGCTAAAATGTCTACGTGCCGCTTGATGGACGCCAAAGCCGTTGCACCCACGTTTGCCATCAGTTCATAGATCGCTTCCATTCCACCATCCTCAGTGAGGGGCATTCCTGCCCCTAGAGAAGCTGTTAAGCCCATCGTCTAAACCCGTTGTTTGTATAAAATACAAGAATTTCCACAGGCAACTTCCTGGCACCCACCTGAGGTTTCGGTCCTTGATAGTCATGGATCGTTTGCATAAGAATATTGTAGGGATGAACCTTTGTACAATGATGAACTTCGTCAAAAATTAACAGCGAAAAATCGCACACATATAAACGTTCATCTTGCCTTATTGATTTCAGCATATTCCTGAAATATTCAAATTTCGGACTACAGGGTGGCTACTAAATATTGGCGCATGGATTGTTGACCATATTTTTAAAACGAGCAGCTTTTCCATCTTCGGAGGTTTACCCTTGAATACCTTATCACATGGCAGTACATTGCCAAAGAAAGTGCTCGAGATGGCCTCCGATACAGGCTTGAAGTCTCTTCTCAACTGACATCACTGTGGGCCGCAAGTAGCCGACGTCAAGCTCCTTCCACGCCTCCTCCAAGGAAGCCTTCAAGAAGTCCAAACTTCGACGTTGCTCAAAAGGCATCTTCTGCTTCAAGAAACCCCACACCTCCAAATCAATTGGTTCAAATCGGGCGACTTAGATGACCAAACATTTTGTGCCCGGTAATTTGGAAAATGGCGGTCACAGTTCCCCAGCATTGATTTTGCGGCATGTGGAGGCGCCCTGTCTTGCTGAAGAATTAATGCAACGACGTTCGCTGAAGGTCAAAAGAGTCCTTGAAAGAAGGGCATCACGTGAAGATTGTTTCCGGGTGGATCTGGGCGTTGACTTGGATGTGTTCATCCACAACGCCAAGCGGTGTCATGGTTTCGGAAGCAATTCCTGCCCAAACCATGACAAATTTGAAAAACGGTTCCTTGTGTGTACACAAGGTCGAGCAGAATGACTGCCCAAATCCAACAACTGCCTGTCGCTTTGCATATCGTGCGTCACTTCCAGTCTAAAGATCTACTCACATCACGGTGACGTTGGATATTTGCGGCTCACGATGATGTCAGTTGACAAGAGACTTCAAGCCTGTATCACTACCAAAGAGACCATCTCGAGCGCATACTCTGGTAATGAATTTTCATGTTTTATTGTATATCAAAACAAACTTCTGAAGATATGATAGCTTCTCTTTTTGGAAATTTGATCAATAAACCACGCGCCAATATTTAGTAGCCACCCTATAAATAGGGGTGGCCAAAAAAAAAGAGACACTTCACATTTCATAGAGCATTAATCACATTTGGCTAAACTCAAACCCATTGATCCCAACTTAATATAAAAGCACATCCCAGTCTATCAATAAATGTTTTAGTAGCTTCCTGCACCAAGGACATCACAAGAATTTTACATGGGAACCTTGAGCACGGTTCGAGCTCAACTGCTACTCGACGGATCATGGACCATTATGACGTTATTCGAAAGCTGGACGGAAGGGATCTTGCATATTTAGATACCACTGTCCCTACAAAGCAATATGTCTGTGAACCCTTTAAACAAAGTTCGTAGTAGAGGCTTCAGGATGGGTCGATTACGGAAGGCCTTCTTGACCTCAACGGTGATGGGAGATGACGTCGTATTTTGAGGATGGTGAGGATAGCGGAGGACGGCCTATGGAAGGAATTGTGCTTATGGAAGGACATCTAAGGGATGTTTTGCCGTAAAAAATTCATCAACAGCGACACCTTGTGCTACGAAAAGTTTGATGATGTGCACTATGGGCAACGCTTCCTTTGAGGCCACCCCTCATAATGAAGAAATGATGTTCTCGCGACAATGGCGCCTGAACTACTCGTCGAACGACGCGAAAGAGAACTACTGCAAGAAACCAATGTCTACAACAACATGATTGCAGTCTCCCATCTTCTAATATATTGCCAAAATCTCACGCAGCCGAGTACGGTTCATAACTGGTATTGGTATCACCACTGCCAGAAAAGATTCGGCTGACGTATTTTGCCCAGTTCATTCCCCTCTGCAGGAACAACACCCACAGCAAGGCGATGCGGTAAAGTTGCGCGGCTGTGCGAAGCGAATGCGACGCTGCAGAGCTACGCTACTGTGCATACAAAAAGGAGGAACATCTGAGCCTTTCCTGTGAATCCCAACGAGTCCAGCCTAATTCACGAACTGAAAATTTCAGTTCTTCCAATCGTTCTTGCACGCTATCACAAATCGCATTACTCGAAGGCACAGCGCACGATCAGATGAGCCGAATATTCTCAACGAACTTGGCAGCTGCATGGCCATAGGAAGCACCATTGTGGCAGGAGATGCTCTGGAAACGCTAGAGACGTTACTAAGCGAAAAACGCTGGTTGGTCCACAACACTACGTATCCCCCCTGTTATGCTCTGAGCGGACTCCTGCCCTAGGTCCCAAAGTGGGACAAACGCTAACAAGGGAGGTCGTCCTGAGCAAGCCGCGTTTTTACGAGGCGGTTTTTTGCATGTTATAGGAGCTCATGCGTTAACTACAGAACCTTGGTCCATTTTCTCTGGTCCCCAGAAGGCCAAAAATGATGAGGAAATAGTCCAAGGATCAATCTCCCGTGATCAAAATTTTTGCGCTATAGTTGGAATCCAGTTTTTCTCATAATAGCACCAGCGCAGAAATTTATTATCATATTCATTATCGGGACCACTAGTAAATATTAAACTCAGATTTCACCCAAAATATGGCGGAAAAACGTTGTAACACCAGAAGGGCGCCAAATGGTGACGAAGTGATGTAAAATGGAGCCGTCTGGAAAAATAAATGTCGTATCCGTGATAAGAGAATTAGACATTCCTTAAAACGAAGATTTTAGAAAAAATTGAGCTTTCGAGCCAGTTCCGAAAAATCGGCCATCGGTCGTAGCCCTTTGGTATTCCAGCCAGCGATTGGAAAATGAGTTTCCTCGTAATCCTCTCCAAATAGTATGAAATTTCAGTACAGAATAGACAAAGGAGACACCTAAGCTGGTGATAAACAACAGGATCCACATGAGTTGAAGTCGACAGATTCTTTCTCCGCTCTGACAATCTGTTACGTCTTCGACTCCTCCACTCGTAGGGCCTCATCTCCATAGCTGGAGCGATTTCAAGGACAGGGACGTGGTGTTAGATGTCCCCTATGAGACCGAGCCTTGATTCCGTGAGTCATCAGGATGTTCCGCTTGATTTCCGCGTGGCGCTCATCCTCAAGTTGCGCGCCGGCGTGCATGACGACCTGTGGCCCATGGTCACCCCCTTTTTCGAAGTTAGGTCAAAATCTCGATTTTCGTCGAAAGTTTGGCTTTAGAAATAATTGGGGTGCCGTTCACAAATATAGGGTTCTATTTTGGCGTAGGTGTCATTTAGCGCCACGTTGGCGCTACACATTCACTCTGCCAGTTTTTGAATTAATTCCCATTTGCAGGGCCGCTGACTGATGCTCACTTGTGATATAGCGTTAAATTTGAAAACTGAAGCAATTTGCCACTCATTTGGAAGACGACGATGCAATAACTGCGAAATCCACAATGAGCAAGTCGATACCTAAAGACCTTTCGTTCGAAATCCATCACACATCGACTCAATCATCAAGCCACTGGAATGGTCCGTGGCCAACGATCTTATAAAACCCTCTTCACTTTATCCATCACCTGACACGATAGGCTAACTTTTTGCGAATTAACTTGTTTTCGATATCATTGTCCCTTTAATATGCAGGTGGTCTTGCTGTGAAAGTCCGATAACTCACTCAACAGCATGTAAAGCCACCGAAATTTTCAAAAAAAAAATTTCGACTGCATTTTGCTCACAGGTGAACGTTTCAGCGCAAGTGAATTAGGTATGGTTTGTGGTCTATATACATGGGTTCCTACAATATGCAAAAAACCGGTTTTTCAAAGCCTGCCGGCGAAGACTTCCCTTGATAAGATAAGAAGCACTCTGCTAACGCTCTCTCGTTCTCCAGATCCAAGTCGTCCTTTCGCAACGGCGCCCATTTCTTTTGTACACTGCTGCCTCTATCAGGAACAAGCTAAAAATTTTTCATGGACTTGAGATACCTAAGGTAAATCTATGGCATCAAACCACCAGTCACAAAAATGGCGACTAGAAGTCTAAGTGAACTCCCCGAGTTGTGGGCGGTCAGTGTTGGCAAGTAATGCAGTAAAAAGGAAGCTGTGGCACAACACTGACGCCAGATGGCCTCTGTGTCAATAAGAACACAAACGTGACCAGCCCAAACTTTTCATATAACTGAGGCTTCAGAGAGACATGGGAAGTTCACATAGCAATTTTAGTCCCCATAGCCAACATTATAGACTGTATCGATTTGCAAATGCTTCATTCGAAGCTCCATGGGAGAATGAAAACGCTCTCTATTTAGCCACCTCCGAGTGTAGAACAAGGAAGCATGTATTTCCGTTGTTTCCGACGGGAATTTTTTTCCCTTTTCCTAACTGGTGATCTACTGCATATTCCTAACTTCATATTCCAATAGGATTACCACATTATGTCGATCAAGGGTGTTCCTCTACGTGGCACTTTCAAATAAGAAGAAGATGGAGAACCTTGATACATATCGGTCTTTTTTCGATATTAAAGTTGTTGTTCCAAAAAGAACTGAACTCACAATAAAATTTGCGGAGTCATCACGACGATATCACAAGCAAGGACGATATCGCGACGCGACGCGCCCTTGAGACCAGAGCCGTGGAATCCTTCCACATAGTACCTGAAACAGGAAAAGGATCTAAGCTGTCAACAAAACAAATGACGTGGTCGTCTTGAAGACGGGAAGAAGCTGTTAAATAATGCCGCAGGCGACCATTCCTAGACACAAAACCGAGTCATTTCTCCGGTGGCCGCCATCCATCGCGCATGAACCTGGTCAGCGTGCTTGGTTGTGAATTCAAAGCTATCAGCTATTACATAGATTCAGTTCAACATCTTAGTGTAGCAGAACAATTAAGCTACTCACTTGCCACGGACGTATTTATGGAATCTGTATTTCTGTTGATCCACCAAAGGAGTTCTTGGCACAAGCATGGCGACCTTAATTATGAAAGCTTGTAAACCATGAGAGCCGAAGCAGATTCCAATAGTAGACCATCACTATCAATCACCCTAGCAGGTTGATTACTCTTCGCTTTCTCATCCAAATGGGACATAGCGACATAAATGGCAACTTCTGTTTTGCCAGATCCAGTCGGCGCACATGCTATGGTGTTCTTGCCACGAACTGCTGTCTCAACCTTCCAACATAGAAATCAATTGAAATTAAAGCTCACACGGAAAATCGCAATAAACCAACCAGTTCTTCTTGATATGGCCGCAGACTGAGTGGCTCTGCTTCTTGTATGTCATCGTACACTGCAAATGTTTTTGGCAGTAACATAAGTAGAACCAATATGACAAATAATATACTCTTCTTCAGAAAACCAGCAGCGCGTCGAGCAGGCTACCCATTACAACTGACAACGGCTTTCACGGAAAATACACTGGTGTGCTAAACATAGGGACGGAAGTAAGTTTCACATGACATCTAGTTGCTAGCTAAACTAGTGCAAATTTGGCACATACACGCTGAACATGAATATCACCTCTGCCTGGAATGAGGTTGCCTGACGAGTACGCTAGGGGTGCCTGGAGTGCTCACTTGCAAATGACGCGCACACCGTTCAAACCTCTTCGCCAGCTTTTTCTACTTGTGATATATGCAACCGCTGATGACTTAACAGGAATAAGAGTTCCTCGTAGAGCGTTTTCCTTATACAATGATCTCAAGAAAAGCAGAAGTGGGAACTCTCCAAGGACTTGAACTCACGACCTCTTGCTCGTCGAGCCGGGCCGCTGCCACTGCACTATCTCGCTTCATAACTACGTTCAGCTCATTTCGCAGGTTTGGAGAGCAGATCCGGTATGTCTCGTTACAAATGATTACTTCGACCTGGTTTCCTTCAGATAGATTAGGGGTGTCTGTGAGTTTACCCCGCCGTCGTCCTACTTGATAGAAGCCGTGTGGATAAGCTCTTTCTCATATTCCGTTGGATATCAGCAAAGCATGTTTCCGCGCAACTTCTATCAAGTGCGGCGACCGCCACGTCAAACTCATAGACACGCCTAATCACACTTCGAGATATGGAGTAAACTTGGAGACCGTCGTCACACGTGGAGTGGTCTGCACTCGACGCGCGTCCGGCTTTCTAAAACGGAGCTAGGGCATGCAAGGAATGAAAGTAAAGAAATAATTTGAAAATAGGTGAATAGAGAAACCATGGCCTAAACTACTCACTACTTGTCCTAAAATTCGCATAGTCGCTTGGTTTACGCATTTCAGTAATTTCTGGGACAGCTCCAATGAACTCGTCATCTTTCACGCTCTTGCCTGTTCTTCGACGCCGTCTTTCAATAAGGCGATTTTCTGAAAAAAAAAACGTGGAAAGTCCTGATTCGAAACATATGATTTGGACTTTAAAGCAACGAGTCAGGACTAGGCAACCAGGAGAAGTTCTTCCCAGGATGCGATGGTTGGCTTCCCAAGTAATGAGGGCGCGACACTGTCGCGACTCAAAAGTTCGAGGTACCGGCGCTGACTCTGCATTATGTGCTGCCGTGCTGCCAATATTATCAGCCACGACACGTGTGCTCTGCCCTCTCGTGTAGGACTTACTATCTCGCGTCCTCCCTCTCCTCGAAGCGCTGTGTCTCCGTCGTACTACGGCCGGCCTCCTAAGGGAAATTCGTCTTCTATGGTGGTTTGGTTTTTCTCCTCACTAATGTTCCTCATTGCACCCCTTGCTTAATGTTCGAACAAAACAAAGCATCAATTCAATCCCCACTCGTGCCCTTAATTGCTATATCAATTTTTCATGTCATTGAATGTGCCACGAGCAGGTCGGTGTCAAACTTTGCAAATCCAAGTATTCGCCAGGTATGAGTGATGCACCAGTGGTTCCAAGAATGCATCAGCAACCCGTTTGTGTGGGAAATTGGTAGGTCTCCCTCACAACATAGATTTCGCAGGCACGGATTTACTGCTACAGTAACACATGTTGGCATTGCTATGCGCAGAAGAACTGCGGCATGAGTAGCAACACTCCTTACGCGACGCATGCAGCAGTCGCTCATTTCCGTTTCATTCGCTTCGCTTCTTCCTTATCGTTAGTGCCCAATACGCTGTTCGTGCCAAAAAGAAACAGTGGAATACAGTGAGCATAGATACACTGTTTAACTGCTTAGAATCGGTTTGACTCCAGCGATAGAAGCTGTTCATAACGACAGTTGAGATGAAATAGTTGCAAAGAAATTGCAAAGAAGCAGTTGAAAGGCACATGAGTTGGCTGGGTATTGAACAGTGTAGTAAGCAAGACTTCAGGAAAAGTAGTACAAAATGTCCATTACGGCAAAGGTACACAATTTGGAACAAATACTACTATTAAGCAGCCCTCTTACGCGTTCATTTTGTCCGTTAAACTGAAGCATGTTTGACCGCTCTGTGGACCACTCCGTTTATCAGTTATCCTACATTGGCGTTCAGGGGATACAGTGATCCAATGGGATATTAAATATAAAAAAAAAATCAGGCCACCAAGAATCTGCGAAATGCGAAGAAAAACTGGAAGACATGGGTGCGAGGCCGCGTGCGCATCACGCGGTTATCTTTAGTGTGTTCGATGACTTTGCGTCTTTTTAATTCCATCAGTTAGTGCGTGGACGTCCGACTTACGTTGGGGGGTTTGATGGCGGAAGGAGGCGTTGCTGGTGTGCCTTGAGCTTTTTTCAAAGTGGTGTCTTGCTATGGCGATTCGGGCTACTTGTGAAAATCTAATATTGTCCTCGCTGAATATAAAAAGCTGATAAAAGAAGTGGTTTCACTGTTCGACTTCTCTTTCGTGTTGACAGATTAGCGTGCAGTTATCCTACATTGGCGTTCAGGGGATACAGTGATCCAATGGGATATTAAATATAAAAAAAAAATCAGGCCACCAAGAATCTGCGAAATGCGAAGAAAAACTGGAAGACATGGGTGCGAGGCCGCGTGCGCATCACGCGGTTATCTTTAGTGTGTTCGATGACTTTGCGTCTTTTTAATTCCATCAGTTAGTGCGTGGACGTCCGACTTACGTTGGGGGGTTTGATGGCGGAAGGAGGCGTTGCTGGTGTGCCTTGAGCTTTTTTCAAAGTGGTGTCTTGCTATGGCGATTCGGGCTACTTGTGAAAATCTAATATTGTCCTCGCTGAATATAAAAAGCTGATAAAAGAAGTGGTTTCACTGTTCGACTTCTCTTTCGTGTTGACAGATTAGCGTGTTTGCATTTTGTGGTGAGTTGGCCGTTTTCAGAAGTGTTGGCGCACCAATGGCGTCAGCGCAATGACTGGAAGTCATGGCTCATGGTTGAACAATCACCAACCGTTACATAGTAGTTTGACCAATAAAACTGGTGACCGGAATGGCTGTGACCACCAATTAAGACGGTTAGCTATAGTATACGCTGAAATGTGATGCAGTCCAAATGGCGTTAATTCGAAACCAGTATGGCGCCCGCATCGCCATAAAAGCGCGAATGTCCATAATACGTAATCTCGGGCACTCAGCTAAGCCTATCTACATCGGTAACTTGGCATGCGTAATATTATGACCGCCAATTTCCGAACATTGGCTACCGTCGCCGTAAATCACTAGCCGTCAGGCCTGTCGGTGGATGATTCGGAGGCAACCTCCTCGTCATCTTTGTTCGTACCCTAGAAATGAAAAACCCTGACCCGTAATGAACTTCAGACACCCAAGCCGGTGACGGCCGAAGGACCGCACACGATAATCACTAGGCCCCTCGGATCTCTCCGCTAAATAGTGGCAGGCTGGATTTTCGGCCCTGCCACTGACTAGGCCTCTTGGAGGCAGCTGGATCGGCTTCAAAGAACGCAACGAAGGGTGAGACATTTAGGGACAAAACCTCAATTTCCGGGTTTATCACAAGAAGGTACCGCTAATTTTCCGCTCCAGGCACGCCTTCAAGCTGTCGGAACACGCGTCGAGTTGTCCCTATGGCTGGTCCAACTTTTCGAAGTGGGGTCAAAATCCCGATTTTCCTCAAAACTTCCGTGATGGGGCTAGATCAGCGCTGATCAAGAAGATGACATTCCTTTAGGCGCAGCACAATTCGGCGACATCTTGGTGCCGCGATATGCTTCCTCCAGCTGTCGAAGAAAACCCATTCAATGGCGTTTATTTGTGACCCTAATTATGAATATGGAGTCTAACATAGAAATAGTACCAGTTGGTACTCATAGTGAAATTTGAAGGAGGAATTCGCGATTAGAATGAAGGTCGAAGAAAGGGAGACTGACCTGACGCGCAATTCGCATGCAAAAATTTAACCTCGGCGACCTATCTTGCCTCAAAGCTGGCGGGTCCGGCAATCTCCGCCCACCGATCATTTGATCACTCGCCGTAGTTCAATACGTGGCGAGTGGTTAGATAGCTGAGAGAGCGTAGTGTTGAAGAGGGCACAACGATGAGAGTCGCATCAATGCTCGAATCACCAAGGAAGGGGTACCATTTCTCGGGTTCTGGGCCGTTTCTCATGGTTCTCCTTTATTTATTCATTTATTTAATATGCACTCGAGGCGCACCATCGGCAACAACCAGAAAAACAAACCGAACCGTGAACCTTTCTTTCGTGTACCACTCACCATCCCTAGGTTAATTTGAAATGGGTTGCTTCTTCACCGTGAATTCATCCTTTAAGCAAAAAATTCAACCGCACGCCGTAAGGCGAACCGACAATCCTTCCGGCACTGTGCCAACTAGAGCCCAGAGTTCTCTATCCACTATGCCATTGGCCGCTCACAGATGAAACACTAAAAACGACAGTTTCCAAGGTAATCTTCGCCCCCTATTTGGTACTCCGAGAGCCACTCAGGAAAAACGAACCATAGTTTAGTGGTTCCTGCATGTGCCCCTACATTATGCATAAAACCGCCGTTTGAAAAACCTCAGAACACGCTGAAGGGCGTTGCTATTTCAAAAAGATTTACGCTAACGTCTTTATCATGAGCGGAATATTGTTCAAGAAGAATGCCGATTTTTCAGACAACTAAAGTCCGAGTAGGTGGAGGGATTCAATGCAAAACTGATCAAAAATTCCACTAAGAAAAAGGTTCTGAGTGGTGAACTTTCAGAACTCAATTAGCATAGCGATAATACACTCAACTGCTGCAACCAAACCTACAGTGCATTCTCGATCATTCCACATGGTGCAGCGGAAGCGGCCAGGTAAGGTAAGGGGCTGGAGAGGAGAGGTATAAGGAGAAAAAGCGGCGGACAACTAGCCAAATAGTGTTGAGTTTCCATTCTAATGTGATGCCACGATGAAGATAATACACTCTACTATA